TTCTTTCGCACTCTGCCTCGAGAGGCCGAAGCCTGGTCGAGACAGAGCCCCACGGCGAGGTGAGACTAGTGGACCATTTGATCGGTACAAGTCCTCGACTTTACCGAAGAGACACCGCCTACGAAGTAAGCCTTATCATAGCTGCCATCGGCTACATCGAAGTGTTTGATCCTATTCAGGTTACCCTGAAATCGGAAAATCTTGTACCAATCTCAACTCTCCGACCCAAGGCTAACTTACTGTTATTTACTCAACCTGTAACGTAGAAACATAACGTGACATACGTACAACTACTGTACATTCATATACAAAAATAAGTAATTAAAAAAAAAACGATTTCACTAAAACAATATTCAAATATTCGTTGCATGAATAATAAGAAAAATATTCGCTTGAAACAACTATTTCAAGTGCATCATAAAGAGTACGTAATTGAAATGCATTTTCATATTCTTAATAATCAAGTAAATTTCAAATAATATTTCAGTTAATGGTGTTGGAATATATCGATGAATGCTTTGAGATGTGTGTATGCGATTGTCTTTTGTCATAAACTAAACAAGTGAACTCCTTTTCTTTTGTAGTTGATCTCGAGGCGTCGTTCGAGAGAACGTACCTACATATATTGAAAATATATATTGAAAAAAAATATATATATATAATATATTGGAAAAATATATATATATATTTTTTTTTCAATCCAGAATCGCATGTTCTTATTAAATAATTAAATAAACTCTGACAGATTATGGGCCCAAAACGGTTCCCTTGCGTGAAAGTTGTGAGTAAAAATTAATCACGTGTGTCAAATTTGAATAAATAAATGAAAGAAAAAGGAAATCATGGCGTCTATGCACAATCTTTCGAACGTAGATAGATTAAATGTCAATAATTATGGTTTGTGGAAAGTACATATGAAAAATGTCCTCGTATACAATGATTCATGATCGTTGATGGAAGTGAAGTGAAGACGAAAAAAAACAAGGTAGAATGGACAAGGAAAGGTACAAAGGCACTTGCATTAATTAATATAAGTGTAACACAAGGTCAACTCACGTATGTAAAAAAGGCTATCACATCAAAAATGTTAGGGGAGAAATTAGAAAATGCATTCGAATCAAAAGGTCTCATGAGAAGAACGATGCTAATCAAGGAGTTGGTCATGTGCACAAACAATCT